CGCCTCCGCCAGCCCCGGTCCCGCTGTTGTCTTTGCGTGCCTGGTCTTTTTTCTGCCGCTGGTGCTTCCCGCTATGCCTGAGCCGGCCAAGTCCGCTCCCGCGCCCAAGAAGGGCTCGAAGAAGGCGGTCACCAAGGCCCAGAAGAAGGATGGCAAGAAGCGCAAGCGCAGCCGCAAGGAGAGCTACTCCATCTACGTGTACAAGGTGCTGAAGCAAGTTCATCCGGACACCGGCATCTCGTCCAAGGCCATGGGCATCATGAACTCCTTCGTCAACGACATCTTCGAGCGCATCGCGGGCGAGGCGTCGCGCCTGGCGCATTACAACAAGCGCTCGACCATCACGTCCCGCGAGATCCAGACGGCCGTGCGCCTGCTGCTGCCCGGAGAGCTGGCCAAGCACGCCGTGTCCGAGGGCACCAAGGCCGTCACCAAGTACACCAGCTCCAAGTAGGCGCGGGCCCGCGGCCTTACTCCTGACCCAAAGGCTCTTTTCAGAGCCACCCACCTGCCAAGAAAAACCTGCCGTGCTTTGCCTATCATTTGTGGGGATGGGGATGGGGAGCATTATCTTGGGAGGACATCTTAAAAAGTAATGAGCAGGCTTGAGAAAAACTAGAGTTAAGCATTCGTTGCCCCCCCAGACTCTGTTGTGCAGGATCCCCATGCTGTCCCTCCCACCGCAAGGGTTTTGTGTGTAGCCAGACCAAGTGTTTATTGTCCTTCTGGGGACAGATGACCAGGTCCCAGGTATGTTAGGTGCATAGAGATTGCTTCCCAGTTCCACCCAGCACAGAAACTGCGACCAGCAACATTTGCTGCACTTAACACTGGAGGAAAAGTGCCATCACAACTCATCCCCGGGGAAAGGAGTTTAGTCACAGGTAAGCCTCACAGATGGGGAAGCAGCTTTGTGACAATGAAGTCCCCCGCGGGGTCGGCAGCCAGTGAGGGTAGGTTTGTGGGGATCATGGAGAAGAGGGACCTGCATAATCCAGGAGCCAATCCGAAGGCTGCGTGCGGCTTCTTTGCGCACAGCTCTCCCCTCTTCACCTTTCTCTGCCATGAGACACACCCAGGATCTCGGGCTGTAGAAAAGGAGCAAGACGAAGGGAAGCGTCAGTTCTTTCCAGAATCAGTGACAGTGTTGGAGAAAGTGTGGGTGGCTGAGGAACCCCCAGTTATGCTGGAAAGTTCTCTTCACTGAGTTCACGCTTCCTGCTGGTTTTAGGCTCCATTCTGCCTCTTCGGATGAAATGGTATCCCTGTGGCCTAGTTGAGATTTTAAAATGCCCACAGCTCCAAAATAGTTGGATTTGCGAAGGCAGAAGCCTCCCCTTCACCCGCCCTTCCCGCCCCCACCTACACTGATGGTTCCAGTGAGGATAATGTAATTATCCAAGAGTGAAGCAGGGCCCAGGGACTAACACGGGTGACCACCCTATACAGTGCTGCCTAAGCTGGCTCCCTGGGCATGCGACTCCGGCAGTTGCACGGGGTCCTCCTGTTCTCAGAGGAGCCTCGTCTTTGTTTAATGCTCTGCTGTCATTACCTTAAAATCATCAATAATTTTTTAACAAGAGACTCCACACTTTTGTTTTGCATGGGACATCACCAACTATGTAACCGGTCCTCACGTTGCCTTCTACATTCTATTGTCAGAAAAAGGAAAAAATATCTTTCCCATACTCTGCATTCTATCCCTTCTTCGAGGTATGTTAAGTGCAGAAAGATTGCTTCTCAATTCCATTGCCAGGGTTTCTATTGTAAAACTAAAGTACAGGAAGAAATGAAGAAATAATTTTTAAAATAGGTCACTGGACCATAGTAAGAGGTCATGGATAAGCATGATAAGAGCTATTCATGCCTAGAAACCAAACAGGATGCAGTGCTGATGTAACTTCTACATAAAGTAGACTATTAGCCTAAAAAGAAGGGAAGAAAGAAGAAAGAAAGAAAGAAAGAAAGAAAGAAAGAAAGAAAGAAAGAAAGAAAGAAAGAAAGAAAGAAAGAGAAAGGAAGGAAGGAAGAAAGGAAGAAAGAAAGACAAGCTTTATGGACTCCCTGGGGGGCTAACTCACCCTCCTCAGCCTCGCAGAATCCAATGATCACTCACCAGATGGTGGAAATAAGGCAGAATCGAACCTGGGACCCTTCAGTCACAGCTCTATCCACTGAGCCAAACTGGCTAGGCTGCACCCCTATGTTTATTTCAGTGTTATTTACAGGAGCCAAGCTATAGAAGCAATCAAGTCCCCATCAATAGACAGTGGATAAAAAAGTTGTGATACAGCCCTAACTGGTTTGGCTCAGTGGATAGAGCATGGGACTGTGTAGAGCATAAGCCTGTGGACTGAAAGGTCCCAGGTTCGGTTCTGGTCAAGGGCATGTACTTTGGTTGCTGGCACATTTCCAGTGGGAGGTGTGCAGGAGGCAGCTGATCAATGTTTCTCTCTCATTGATGTTTCTAACTCTCTATCCCTCTCCTGGCTTTCTGTAAAAAATCAATAAAATGTATTTTTTTAAAAAGCTGTGGTACATACAATGGAATATTACTCAATCATAATAAAGAATGAACTCAACATTTATGACAGCATGGATGGACCTAGAGGGTATTAGGCTAAATGAAATAGGCCAGACAGAGAAAGACAAAGACCATATGATTTTACTTTATATGTGAAAGCTAAAGAACAATATAAACAAACAAAATAGAAACAGACTCATAGATGCAGACAACAGACTGATGCTTGCCACAGGGGAGTGAGGAAGGGGGCTGGGTGAAAAAAGTGAAGGGATTAAGAAGTACAAATTGGTAATTACAAAATAGTCATGGGGATGTGAAGTACAACATCCTATCTAATAATAGAGAAACATGGTAATTAACCAT